CGTGAGATATTCGGCGAGTCGCATGAAGGGTGCGCTGCATCCTGCTAAGGGTGTTCGGCATCTTGTGCTTACTTCCTTGCGTACGGATGACAGCTGCGTATGAATTAATTTATTTTCTGGTGCTTTCACTTCCAGAGACAGTTGTAAGCACTGTGTAACTGCCTCGAGGGTGCTTGACCATTTTAACACAACGTGGTGCGATCATCCCCCTTGCGCGGAGTGAGGGTTCACCCCGCACAACATGATCTACTCAACCATCATTATGGTTACCGCCCAAAAAAAATAAACGGAGGAAAAAAAAAAAAACGGTAACCTGGTTGCCGAGTTCACGAAGTGAATTGGCTTGTTTTACAACGTCGTTGCCAAGCGACGAAAACCCAATCCCGATGGCAAACACCGGGGGGGGCGGCTTGTTTTACAACGTCGTTGCCAAGCGACGAAAACCCAACCCCGATGGTTAACACCGGGGGGGTGGGCTTGTTTTACAACGTCGTTGCCAAGCGACGAAAACCCAACCCCGATGGCCACCATGAATCATTTCGCGGGACACCATGAATCATCGACCAATGACAGTCGGCAGGGAGGTACTGTTGCGGGGATTTGGAGAGAGGGGGGAGAAGGAATGCAGCAAGCCAGCAGATGTGCTCTGGAGGCGGTATGGCAAGAGGAACACTTTGGAAGACGAGGGGGGGAAACAACCGCTGAAAACGCACGCGAACCAGCATCGGCTCATGCCCCCCTTCCCCCCCCCAAACAACGCTCTAGAATGATAGCGCTATACCAAACTTGCACCTGCGTTTCGCATCACTGAGTTGATGAATTGTCCATGGCCGTAGCAACGAAGGGTCTGCGTCTGTCTGTCTGTCTGTCTGTCTGCCTCACCTTGACCTTGCCAGAGTCTACGACGTAGCGGATTCCGTTGATCGTGATGGACGTCTCCGCGATGTTAGTGGCCTGCCGGCACCAACACACCCACGGGAAGCGCGTGAAGGACACACACACACTCGTTCGGTTTTGATAGCGATAGCGAAGGTATGGTGCACACCAGGGGTCAAACATTCGAAATGCGCACAAACGGGATACGAATGACGACATGAACACACACAAAAAATAGACTGCGGATAAAAAACACAAATGACAGAGCTCTTCGATGTCAATACGACAAGAAACGACGGAGCCGTCGATGGCACACGCTACGGTAAAACAGCTCACACACCTGAAGTTTTTTACTAGAGAAGCCCAGCGAACCTCAACAAACCAAGAAGAAAACTCTTCAAATCTGTAAAAGGTTTCGCTCCCCACCAAAACGAATTTTCGGGTCCCCCTCGGTGCCGGCTCGAACGCCTCCAGCTGCTGTTCCTGAGGCAGCGCGGCGAACACCGGGCACACCATCGACTCCCTCAGCAAGCCGTCCCCTTGCCCCTGGAGGTCATCCCCGCCCCTCCCCCGTGGCCGTTGGAACTCCTCGTCGCCTGCCGCTGCCGCCGCGTCCGCCGCCGCCGCCGCTAGCTCCCTTGAAAGGAAACGTCACGAGGGGGCCAATGATAATCCAGCATTGGTATCTGTACCCTCTGCTAACAACAACGACTTCAAAATAAAAAAAAACGAACAGGAGGTATTGATATCGTCCGAGCTAGTTCCTCGAAAGGAAACATAGCGAAGGGGGAACCTAGCATTGGCATCAATACCCTCTGCTAACATGAAGGAGGTGGTATCGTCCGGGCTAGTTCCTTGGAAAGGAAACGTAGCGAAGGGGGACAATGGAAACCTTCCATTGGCATCGGTACCCTCTGCTAACATGAAGGAGACTTAGAAAAAAAGAAGAAGGTGGACGGTATCGTCTGAGTCGACATCCGAGCCCGAATTTAGACGAAGACCATCTGTCACCTTCCTAGAGTTTGGATCAATCCACACGACCCACGGAGATCGGTACGCAAGCAACGCAACTTGTACGTGATGAACGAACTTTTCACTTTTCCACACACATCCATCCCATCATCCATCTGAGTTGGACAACAAGACTCAGAAGCCCGACCCCGATGCACTAGCGGTCCCCGTACAAGGGTACACGGGGGTCCCTGTAAAAGGCCGGAAACACATACGGCCTTCGCCCTGTAGGATATATATAGGGCCGGTGAAATCGGAAGGCACGTTTTTTTTTTTTTTCCGTCCCATTTATTATGGCGACAGTCCCCCCATTTTTCGTGGTGACACAGGTACGACACTGTAGTAGAGTACTACACCTTTTTCAGTGTATAAATATTGGCAAAGATGAAATACTAATATCTATGTTTGTCTCATGCAACTGTGGACAGTGATATCAGGTTGCCCGGCACCAGGCCGACCAAACCCCTTGGTACTTCCCGGGGGCCTTACCAAAGGTGACGCAAGATACCACACCCCCTTCTCGGAGCTCGATTGCTCCACAGCAGAAGGATTGGTGGTGCCGAAAAGCGCTGTGTTGAAACCGCCGTCTCTCCCGACGAACTAGTGTTTGATATGGACTTCATTCTCTTCATCGTGGAGTAATCGAGCTTGGAAAATCGGCCCAGGGGACGTGATATCTCAATCGAGCCGTGAAAATCTGCCCAAGGGACGTGATATCTCAATCGAGCTCTGAAAATGGGTCCAACGGGTATGATATCTTACTTGAGCTTGAAAAATCGGTCCAGGTGGTGCGATATCTTACTCGAGCTAGGAAAATCGGCCCAGGGGATGTGATATCGTAATCGAGCTGAGAAAATCGGTCCAGGGGATGTGATACTGTGATCGAGTTTTGAAAATCGGTGTGATAGATCGAAATCGAGCTGAGAAAATCGGTCCAGGGGATGTGATATTGTGATCGAGTTTTGAAAATCGGTGTGATAGATAGTGATCGAGCATCGAACATCGGTCCAAGGGATGTGATATTGTGATCGAGTTTTGAAAATCGGTGTGATAGATCGAAATCGAGCATTGAAAATCGGTCCAGGGGATGTGATATTGTGATCGAGCCGTGAAAATCTGCCCAAGGGACGTGATATCTCAATCGAGCTCTGAAAATGGGTCCAACGGGTATGATATCTTACTTGAGCTTGAAAAATCGGTCCAGGTGGTGCGATATCTTACTCGAGCTAGGAAAATCGGCCCAGGGGATGTGATATCGTAATCGAGCTGAGAAAATCGGTCCAGGGGATGTGATACTGTGATCGAGTTTTGAAAATCGGTGTGATAGATCGAAATCGAGCTGAGAAAATCGGTCCAGGGGATGTGATATTGTGATCGAGTTTTGAAAATCGGTGTGATAGATAGTGATCGAGCATCGAACATCGGTCCAAGGGATGTGATATTGTGATCGAGTTTTGAAAATCGGTGTGATAGATCGAAATCGAGCATTGAAAATCGGTCCAGGGGATGTGATATTGTGATCGAGTTTTGAAAATCGGTGTGATAGATCGAAATCGAGCATTGAAAATCGGTCCAGGGGATGTGATATTGTGATCGAGCATTGAAAATCGGCCCAGGGAATGTGATAAAATTTCAATCATGTATATGGGGTGTGTGACTATAATTCATCATTTCTCAGGTTTGGGGAGTACATATTGGGGAACCAGAAATAAACTTTCCGTCTTCTTCACTCGGAGTGCTCTTTCAACGGCGTCTTTTATTGAGGCGTGCTTGTTAGCCGCTTGCGGAACGCTCTCCATGCTCCATGGTGTGTCGGCCGTGTTGCTTGTACGTTGCGGGCGTCGGTCGTACGTTGTATACACTTCGCTTCACCTCTGTCCCGTGCACGAAGGGGGCCGCACTTCCAACATTACAATTTGAGAAGTTCTACTGCTCGCAAATTATTCGTTCCAAAACACTTCAACTCGGGGGCGTGTTTGTGTGTGCAACGTGCAAGCGTCGCGATGGGGGTATACGATGAACCGCAGACGATGCACGAGAGGGGGGGGCGTACTCATAGTCGTGCATGCCGTAGTCGTTAGANTTCGGCATCTTGTGCTTACTTCCTTGCGTACTGATGACAGCTGCGTATGACGTAATTTGTTTTCTGGTGCTTTCACTTCCAGAGACAGTTGTAAGCACTGGGTAACTGCC